CTGCAGGTGGAAGAGAGTGGAGTGGAGTGGAGTGGAGTGATAAAAAGGTGGGAGTTTGTGACTTTATACTGGTTTAAGTATTTTCCTTGGGGTTGGTGGGCGTGGAGTGGGGTGAGAGGGGGGGGGATAGGTAGTGTGATCTGTGTGGATTTATTGTCATTATTATTATTGTTATTATCATTATTATTTTTATTATCATTATTATTTATCTATTTATTTATTTATCTATTTTTCAGTTGAATTGTTGCTTATTCAAAAGGTATCGAATGTGTGTCTGGTATATATATAGTGGGATAGAAATGAATAAGTTTATAAACAGGTATACGAAAATAAAGATAGATAAATATTGATAAATAGTTGGGAAAGACAGACAGACAGACAGCTATACACACTGATAAATAGATATACGTAGAGAGACAAATAGGTATATAGAGCGAGACGTAGAGAAAGACAGAAAGAGATAGAAATAAATGGATAGATAGATAGACAGATACAGAAATAGACAGATAATAGACAGAGAGATAAATAGAGAAAGAGAAAGAGCATGATACAGAAAAAGCATGGCAGAGAGAGAAAAAAAGATCTAAGCGCTTTGTTAATAATAACTGAAGCGTTTTCATCAACGCGGTTTTCTACATAATTACACAGAGAAATGATACAAAAACAACACTCATTATAACAGTAAAGAATCATCGCCCTAGGGTCTTCAACAATATTTTTATTTGTTTGTGAGATCTGCTCTGTTTACTTGTAATAACTGTGTGTTTATTGGGCGAACTTATTCTAATGATCACTATGTTGTATAATCGAAAAAAAAAAATGTTTGATTTATAAATTTCGTCCAATATTTTACGGTTGTTATTATTCCTGTTATTATTCTAGTTGTTTACTGCAAAGGAAAAGACAGTTATGAATGCATATCTAGACAAAGCTCTCAAACAAAGGAAAATACATTCAAAAAAGGAAAAAAAGAAAGACCAAAAAAGAAAGAAAGAAAATACCAAAAAAAGAAATCAGAAGAGAAAGACCCCCTTCCCCCCAAAAAAAAGAAAAAAAAAAGAAATGAGGGAGAGAGAAAAAAAATAGAGAAAGTATAATTTAAAACCTGTTCCAGAACAATATAAGACGATATGAAAACCCAACTCTATAATCGTTCTCAAGAAATACCTCTTCCTCTCTTTCGTTTCCAAATGATGAAGTTTTAGCACGTGTTCAAGTGGACCGAGGATCTACGAAACCATAACCTTGAATGAAGTGAGAAACAGAAAAGGAAGGAGAGTACGTAATGGTATGTCTCTTTTTGGATGAAGAAATGTCGAGACTGTATTCGCTGAGGGAAATAATTTGTCTTAAAAGAGTGCACGCTCACTGGGGCTGGAACAAAGTCACACTGAGAGGGTGCAAATAGGTAAGCACGTAGGAATGGAGAGATAAAGATATGTAGGTACAGACACACACATGCATATAAACAAATACGCACATTCATACTCACACGCAAATATACATACATGCACTCACTCACATATACATACACATAAACGCACTCACATACTCGCACACATACGCACAGACTCAAACAAATAGAAATACACACATACACACACACTCATATGCACGTGCCCGCACACACACACACACACACACACACACACACACACACACACACACACACACACACACACACACACACACACACACAGACAAACACACATACAATCACACACACACACACACACACACGCACAAGTACACACTCACACAATCACACACAAACACACAAAGGGCCCTGGGTTACGAAAGAAGCAGTTCAATATTCTATGTTGATATTGCGTGTGGGAAGCAAATACAGCGCTTGCACGGGTCCTGTTATATCACACAGTACCTGCTTGACTACATAGATCCGGGAAAAAATTGGTGGGATTAATGGTTGACTAATGGGACGGCAACATGACAATATCGGAACTTCAGCCATTAAACTTTTTCGTAATAAGTCTTCAACCAGTGTCCGACCCCCCCCCTCTCCTCTCCTCCCTCCCCCCTCTCCGCAACCAGTCCCCTCCCTCTTCTCTTCCCTCCACAAAAAGGGACATTAAAATCAATCAATTATTCAGGACAAATTGATATATTGATTCATTTTATCAGTTTCATAATAATAATAATGATAATAATAATAATAATAATGGCCAGCACTTTCGTATATGGACTGGGAAGTTTAATCATTTTAAGAAGACCTCGTGTGGTGTATATATATAAAAAAAAATAAAAAAATCGCGTTTGACGTTTCAAGATTAGAGAGCAGCTTTGACTTCTTCTGAGATTAGTTTTCCTTCTAAGCTTTAACGTTGAATTTAATTTATTTCGGGGTGTTATTAAGATTATTTAGATCGTCAGAGTGATATCGCGTTACATATAAGAAGATTAGGCAATGTGTAAATTATAAGACATATTTAATGATAACTTATCTTTTCCTTTGTATAACTCTATCAGTTTGTCTTCTCGATCATTCATGAAAAAAAAAAAAAAAAAAACGTATGCCACCTCTTTTTTATATAAAACACACAAATGAAATTAAAACCAGAAAAGCAGATTAAGAGAACAAACGAGAGTGTTACGTGATCAACCTATGGTGATCTGCATCTGGGGAAGCAAGTCCAAAGCCTTTTCAGAGCAAACGGACACGTTGAGGCGAACAGGCTGCCTTGATTAGCCATTTCCTGATACTGCAACATCACTAATACGTTGCAACATCACTAATACAACATCACTAATCCACTGCGTTCGAAAACACAATGTATTAATGCTCCTCACCTCGAAACGCAGCTTCTAAAAGCCGCACCTCTAATGGAGATATGAATAACCCATACGGATTTCGAATTCAGGAGATATATATATAATTCGTACAGATAATGCGAGTTGTCTTGTCAGTCAGGATTCGATTACGATATTAGGGTCTAATCTAATTAGCAGAATCTCTACCGAATGCGAGATGTATTGTGTGTGAGTTGGATTAAATCATATACACATTATATTGAAGTTTAAATTTCTTCCAATATCTCCTGTGTCCTTTTGACCAACAGCCTTCCATCTCCTTAAGCGGTTATGCCATAATATTGCCACCTTATGCAACATTAGGGCAATAAAAAGTACCACAATCATAATCAATAACTCCGGGCCAACTCCAGGAAATCAGCGCTAAAGTCTAGTAATTTGTATACTTGTCATGCCTAAGCTCAGAATAATGTCAATCTGGGGTTGCCGTCCCGTAGACTCATCGCGCCAACACCCTAACGATTCTAAATATCACTTTTCGCCAGAACCAGATTACGTAACGACCCCACATAAGAATGGGACAAAACTATAGCAAAAAGAAGGAAAAAAAGAAGAATATCACTTTTCGTCAAATACACGCAGTCGGGTGTGAAATACCGTTAGTGATGGCCCGAGTGGGATCGGAATCCATTTCATACAATCCTCCAGCCATTGCATTGAGTTGCACGGCTTGATTGATTGTTGCATCTGGCAGAGTGTCACTACCTGTCACACCGTGTTTATCAAATTTAACGTTGACAAGACTATCACGCCAGATGATTACTGGCAAGATAAATCCGTAACGTCAGATGCTTCGTTACGCCGAGGTTCAGTGTGTGATTCGGGTCGAGGGCCGCGGAGGGTGGGGGGTGGGGGTGGATGGGGTGGGGGGTGGGGTGGGATGGGGTGGGGAGGGAAGCAAGATGTCTATCAGGATGTCTAAACCGGAACGAATGCTGAATTGTGAACGCGATAGAAGGAAAGAAAGAAGGAAGGAAGGAGAAAGGGTGAACGTAACTCAAATCTAATTGGTTGAGAGCTTGTGATTATCCTGTTCAAAATGTGTTAGAATTGAGTTATCCAAAGGGAGGTATTATAGTTTTTTTTACCTCCATTATCCCTTTGCCTGGCTTCTTTGCCTGTCTGCCTGTTTGTCTGGGTTTAGTTATCTGGCGCAATCTCTCTCTTTCTTTCTGTCTCTCTGTCTGTCTGTCTGTCTGACTCTCTTTCTCTCCCTCTCCCTCCCTCTCTCTCTCTCTCTCTCTCTCTCTCTCTCTCTCTCTCTCTCTCTCTCTCTCTCTCTCTCTCTCTCTCTCTCTCTCTCTCCCTCTCTTTCTCCTTCTGTGTATATGAATGTATTATCTTTCTCATTCAATTCATGTTTGGCTTTTCTTTGTACGTCTTTATCTCTATGTCTGTTTGTATACATGACCTGACTGTTTCTTCCTTTCATTCGCAACCATTTCACTACCCACTTTCAAATAATAAAAAAAGACAGAAAGAACAAAGAAAAGAGGAGCCAAAAAAGAAAAGAAAAGGGAAATAAAAAGAACATTACAAACTTCTCAGAAAAAATGAGAAAGAGAGAGAGAAAAGAAAAGAAAATCTTTAAGCATCGCATCAAGCTCAAAAAGGGAGAATAAAAGTTTTTTTTTTTTTTTTTTTTTTTTTTCAAAGCCTCCTCGCTGTGTACAGCTTCACGGTCAGCGCCACAGACGGACGATGAAACGACCTCACGGCTAACAAGCGGATCCTATTCCTCAACTTCTATTCATGCTATTAGATTCCTTACTATTCCGAAACGACCCTCATTTGTTTTACTTTTCGTGGAATCGGATATCAAGTGGTTACGAAGGGGACTAGGAATCTTACTACTGTATTTTCCTTTTTGAGTTTTCGTCGCGTTATATAAAAAAAGTCAAATCTACTGTGCAAAGTTTCAGATAAACACGATTATAGATCGGCAATAAATGATGAGATATTATCGAAGAATGCTTAGGAATCTTACTACTGTGTCTCCCTCGAGTATACCGCCATATTATAAGTCAGACCTACTGTACAAAGTTTCGGATATAGCGCAATTATAAAACGGCATAACAGATCAGTTATTATCAAACAGGCTTTTTTGTTTTATTTTCCCATATCGTAAAAAAGCCAAGTCCAGAAAGTTTCGGATGGAATACAAGGGTGAA